TTGACAGCCCTTCCCCCGTAGTTGATAGCATGATTATATTTAGCCTAATTGACCTAAGTGTGGGGCAACGTTTAAAAAAAAATATGTTGACCCGACCTGGTAGTGATATTCATGCACAATTTGAAGTAGGTAAATCCATACAGCACTTTTTGAATTCATCCCGGACATACATACAGGCTACCAGACAAAAATTACTTCAATTCAATGAATTCAAGTATAAATAATTGATTAGCTTGGCTGGACCAATTTTGCTCATCTGTTACCTATGTTAGAAACTTCTTTTAACCTTTTCGCCGCCCAGCTATACTAAACACGATGTGTCGCCGTACGCCAACGTATAAACGTATAGTACGAAAGTAGGGATGGCGGTAACATCATGTCGATAATGAAAAAAAATATGTGTAAATTTAAATTGGTACTCAAATTTACAATTAAAAATACAAACTGTTAAGTTATAATGGTAATTTGTTTTATTTTATGAACATTTATACTAAGAAAAATGGGTATCCGTTATCAGAGATGAAGATACATGCATAGAGTTGCTAGAGATAATAATAATAATTCGTAACATTAGCCACTTCACTATTCATTTCATAACGTAGTCTGTTTACTTCATATCAAGTCATTGGCGTTCAAAGCACGATACATTTCGTAAGGAATAGTTGTCTATGCTTTTCTTTCTTTCTATCGAGTTTGGTTTGCTTTTGGTTTTAGTTTACATTTAAAATCTAACGTCAGGTCACGATCAGGAACATTGTTTGTAGTGATTAAAAGTGGCAACATATGTGTAGTTTTGGAAATGGATGGTAAGTAACTATTTTAATACAGATGTACTAAACTTTAATAGCTTATTTTTCATTTAATGCAAATGAAAAACTGGCACGTTTGATGGATATTAGGTAGTCATAAAATACCTATTCGTTGCGGCTCTCGGTTTCGCAAACTTTTAGCTGTGTCGGCGAACAAATATAGAATATACTCATCCGAATCATATTCGGTCATTTTGCACTGCACTGGGAAAGAAAAATGTGCGTGCACGCGTCGCCCGGAACTATGACACAATGACCTTGACGCCTAAGCGCTTACGACGTCACAGGTTTACTTCTATTGAAGTTGACGGCGCTAGTGTCACTCGACATCTTGCCATTACGTAGAGATGGGTCTAGCAATATCGAAAACCCTCAGTACATAATAATTAATTTTAATGAAATGATTTGATAGGTAGATGTACATTAATTTTGAAACGCATTGTAATACGTTATTTACTGACCGGAATTTCTTTTTATTCATAGAATTCAAAAAACTATTGGATGGAAAAGAAAACAAATATTATAGTAAATAAAGATTCTAATGAATGCTCCTTACGCGTCACATCACTGGCCTACTTGATATGAAGTCGTTGGCGTGCGGGATATAAAATTATTTGAAACCTTTTATGTTTTACCTTTTTAAAACAGAAAATAGTCTGTTTTGCATGAGAAAAAATAGTTCGTCGTGTCCATATTACAAAATTACAAAGAAACAAATGTTTTATGTATCGTAAATGTATTTTTTATAGTAGGTAGATACAATGAACTTCTATAGAAGTAGTGGCGTGGACGGCACGAAAATCCTGAACTTCTATAGAAGTTGTTGGCGGCGAAAAGGTTAACAGAAAACATGCGAAAATGTATCAGGAAATGGGAAATATTATCCTATTTTTGCTAAAGCAGGTCGGTGTTTTGTTCCCGTCTTCCAAATTTTACCTAGATATTTTTCCAAGGAGTTATGTAGGATATTTTTACGAAGGAATTGGGATCAACAAAAACATTCTAAATTCAAGCTAGCGAAACTGTGGTTAAAAGGCTAGGTAGTAAAATAAAAGCACACACATAAATAGGTATCGTTTATTTCATTATAGGAAGATAAATAGTCTTTTAAACACATAACAATGTTACTAAGTAACAATACTTTCTACACATTGTATAAATAAGTTGTTGCTTCAATTTAATTCTAAACTATAAGTATATACATATTGACAAGACTTGGGCCGAGGCTCTTAGGCCTGTACATTGCATACATTAGATACTAGGTACTACATTTTATACATTTATAGTCACATGCATTCATTCTGACTTCTACCAAGTACATTATTGCTTATTATTATATTCAATAAATAAATAATAGTTGCAAAACCTTCATTTACTTACAAACCTGACAGTTGGCTAGTCAACACAAATTATTTAACGTATTGCGATTTTCTTGTGTAGGATACACTTAATCACCTCGGTACAAATAAATGTAGGCACAACATTCCAGTCTAATATTGTCTTACATTAGTCGTAAATCTATATTTAATATACATATAACCAACAATAAAATAACTATAATAACAAAGAACTAAGAAGTATGGTCAGTAAAACAGTTGTCAACATAATAAGATGATCCAGACTACACAAATTAAGAACTAGCTGTACAGACACCAGTACATTAATGCAAGGCTGTGGAGGCATCTCGGAAACAACTCTCCCCTTAATATCACGGCGCTTTTAGCATGGCTGACGAAAAGACCTTTGAACGTGCGAGTAGGTCTACCGAGGCCAACGCCGAGATCTTCTCACCGTCAAGCCTAAGCTGACGTCCTTCGGAAAGGCCGCCAAAATCACATCTATGGACATGTTGAAAAAACAATGACGACAACGTGTCTCCCTGGCGAACTCCCTGCCCAACTCTTGCGGCAACGCTGCGGGTTCCATTCACGTCCAAGATAGTTTCGGACGTGGCATACAACCTCGCAGCGTAATCGTAGAATGCCCCATGCAGACCTCTTCTCCTGGAATTCGACAAGCGCCGTATGCGACACTATCGGATTCCTTGGAAAAGTCCAGCACTGCGATGTGGCATTCACACAACTTTTCCCCGCAGTCAGCACGGCGTCCAGCACCGCCGAATTTTCGAGTGCCGTTGGCGCAGATGAATCCACGCGCATCATGAGGGCAGCATGTCTTGGACCTCCGCGCCAGGACAGTACGTATGACGAAGAAGCACCGACGCGATCGAGATCGGCCGGTACTCTGCCGCACACGCCGGTTCGACAGCCCCTAAGCTGTACAGGATGCTCACCATTCGCCAGCCACACATTGAACATTTCCGCCGAGCCGCAGAAGATACCAATTCTCCGGAAGAACTCCGTCGGAACCTGCTAACTAGGCGACTACCTTCACCTCCATAGAAGTGAATGACGTCCACAGCTGGGAGTAATCACGGATGCCCCCGTACTGTTCTGAACGCCGTAAGGCGCTCAAAGCCTGCATCACTGGTCGTACAATATAGTACAGTAGGCTTCCAGCTCAGTAAAACTATGCCGAATACCTGGCTGTTGCAGGTGTTCCGCTTTTTTGCTTCGGCTGTCCCCCACGCCTTCACCGCCCCTTTATACTGGCCCTACCCGCCCTGGTTTGCATCGCCACAAGGAGGTCTTCCATGATCCCGAAGTGACTATCTAGACTAAAGAGAATCTCTGGAACGGTTCTGGCTCTACTGGCCCGCAGCGGAGCTCCGGTGTCGGGCTTCTGGCAAAAGCAGAGCCTCTAGGACACTTCAGTCTATAATAATATATAGGGGAAGGAGCTCTATTCTCCTCCTCAACTTGTTTAGGCGCGCTCGGCTCGCACTTGCCTTAACCAGACGCACCTCTGCGGCGGCTATGATCTCTGCGTCCTCCTCTCGCCAACTCCATTTCACCTACTTAGGAACAGCCTCAGCATTGCCTGTGATAGTCATGTGGTGTATGTGTATAGACCCTGTCTTTTCTGTTTCTACCGCACTCGGTAAACGGCCAACGCGAGGCGGAGGCGTAGAAGTTGACGTGCCCGACGAATTATTGGACGCAACCTCTGCCTCTTGCGGGGGGCAGAGGCTTGTCCCTCATTTTCATTAGGTACAAACAGAATCCAATAAATTCAAGTTTTTAATAATTCCCCGTTTGTCCACAGCTCTCCATCTCCCGAACCGTATGAGCTGCTAGGACTTGCGTGGACCCCAAAGGTATTTCAACCCTGGACAGTAGACGCTTTGATTTTATACTCCTTAGACTACCCCGCATTGTATCAAGGCTTACCATATCCTCGGACCTTCCAGATATCACTCCTTCATGTCTAATTGCACTGGGTATGCATTTTCAAAAATTTTACCAGTCAGCTACTTTAAAATTTTATGCTTATGAGTAAATTGACATACATAATACATTAAATAACAATTTCACATGTCTAGCTTGCACGGTAGAAAAGCATCAGTCATGTCATGATGTACTAAATAATAAAATTAGTCTTAAAATAACATATAAAACATGTTTGTTCGTTACATGTACATATGTATACGAAACACTGGATCTAGCATCCAGCACTTTACTGACACGACAATAAGGAAGTTTCTCTTCTCTATTACAATGTTACCCTTATTTTAAAATTAGTTACTGATAACAAACATTTCACATGGAATTTGGCCAAGGTATAGTCATAGAAACACCGCTATTGTTACAGTCGTCAAAGTTTTTAGTACACAGGTAGAAAATAAACACTGATTCAGTACAGACACGTTAGTTACATAATAAAGTTATACTAAACAGTATAGTTTTTAACTAAACCATATTTTTGGTAACAAACCAATGGTCAGTGTATACTAAATATAGTCGGTCGTTCTATATAGTTACCTTCGGGGTTATTATGACGTCTTAAAGTCAGAATGGTTCCATTGAGGGAAAGAAACAGAGCTATACAAGTCGTCTGGCGCGATCTCGTTTCCTCAGCGGAACCACGCCACCTGAGGCCTTAGTACGAGTTTGATTTACGTTTAAAGTATTTTAAAAGAGTACGCGTTCGATGAAGCAACCAATCAGAGGCCTTAGTACGAGTATGTTATACGTTTAAAGTTGGGCTCTGATTGGTTGGTTCATTGGAGCCGGCCAATTAGAGCGCCGAACGCGTAGTCGTTTCGAATACTTTAAACGTAAATCAAACTCGTACTAAGGCCTCTGAGCGCCGAACGCGTACTCGTTACGATTATTTTAAACGTTAACAAACTCGTACTAAGACTGTGTATAGTAATAAGTGGTCGGTTACAATGTGCCGGCGGCCAGTAGGCGGCAGTGGTCGGGCAGGGCGCGGAGGCCGGCGGGCGCGGCGACGCGCGCGTTGGCTCCGCTGACGGCGCCGTTGACGTGAGCGTTGTGCAGCTCGGCCACCTGCGTGGAGCACGCCGCCGCGGGGTCGCCGGACCCCGTCACACTGCCCAGCCTGTTACAATTGTATTCATTACACACATTTATAAAACACAAACGTAACAAGAAATAAAAACAGTTTATTTACGACGTATACAAAAATACATAACATAACTCACGCCTTTAACCTCAAAGGGGTAAACAGAGGTGCACATTACGGCACTGCCACTGTATAATGTAACATCCACTTTTCGCTATTTTATATTTTGAGTCCCATGTAATAGGGGGTGAGCCTATTGCCATATTATACTGGGAACAATTCCAGACTCCGTCGTAACTCGAGAATCGAACCCGAGACCGCCAAGAAATAGTTCGTGCGGGAATCGAACCCACTACTCGTCACACGGCAGCCACTGCGGCGACTATGCAATCGCACTAATCATACAGACAGATATGAAAGTATTGGTATACCCACGATACAGGAGAAAATAGCAATATGATAATTTTAAATTGAAATGAAAGTATACAGACCAGAATTCGTTCCCGGGATGTGCGTTCCCGTCCCACGGATACGTCAACACTAACAACTTGCCCGCGTCCTCGCCGACCAACTTGGACGACGGCTCGCGTGTCTTTATCGTCACGTTGATGCCGCCTGCGACGTAAACAAATTATTATATATCACATTTTACACTTCATAACATAATATAACATCACGCCTTTTTACCTCATTTATTTTACACACTAGCTTTTAGCCGCGGCTTCGCTCGCGTCACAAAAGGATAAAAAGTAGCCTATGTGACTTATACCAATACACACAGCGCCATCTATACCAATACTTTTGTTTTTCCTCGGGAATATCAAATTTTTTCCGGGTTAAAAAGTACCCTATTATTTATTCCAGACTTCTAACTTTACGTCTGCAAAAATTCAAAGCAATCGGTTTAGTAGTTACGGCGTGAAAGTGGAACAAACAAACAAACTCATTTTCCGATTTATATTATTATATATAATATATATATATTAGTAGGGATATTTTTTTTAATTCGGTTAAAAATCCTATGTAATTTGGTTGAGAAATTCAAGAGTTATGCGCTTACAGAAAATAAACATAATTGGGTATTTGCCAACTAGTCAAATTCAATACTTGTTTCGAATTGTCAATAACGAGCGCTTTCTATGAAAATTGTACGAGATTGTGTATTGCGACGTTACGATATTTTAGCGTCAAACAGCGCAGCGTATTTATTTCGTAAAATTTTGCTAGAAAAATATTAAAATTAAGTTGATCACAAAATCAATTAATGAAAGTGTAATTATTTTGGAATATTTTATTGTATTGAACGGTCGAAATAATTTGTTTTTGATTAAGGCAAGCACTCAATTAAATGTAACATATTTCGCTAGCTATGTTATGAGTCGTGATTCAAGGGCCTATTGCCATACTCTGGCATATAAAGGTATTTTTACCAATGTGGCAAAAATATTTGTATTAAGACTATCTATGTAAATCATTCACTCACCTTTTGGATGTTTCTTGTTCTCGAAGAAGGTTTTATACTCAGCCGTCTTACCCGAACCCGTGTTTGAGAACATCGCTGTGGAAATAACAAATACTTTAATTATTGTTGAAAAAAAATATCGAAATTCAAATTCCAGGTTAAGTAAAGAAAATTGTAAAACATTATTTATCTCTTTTTTTATTTAAAAACTTTGCCCTCCTAGGATTTTCCCCTGTGTCGTGGGTGCGTTTACAAACATACAAGTTCACATACACATCACACCCCGACCCGGAAAAACAATCTGTGGATCACACAAAGAGTTGTTCCGTGCGGGAATCGAACCCACGCAGCCGGTTGCCCAGCCACCGTGCCAACGGTGCAGTCAAATGTTGGCTCAACAACCCAAAATTGTAACCTCTAATAGGAGATTTCGTTTCTTGCCATTACTAGCTTGAACAAACATAATTTTTATTTTATTTATTTATTTCAGGCATCACAGGCCCATATCGAATACTATAAACTAATACATTAAAGATTAATAAATACTATACATACATTACAAACAAAATAATTACTCAATTAAGTACTTAATAACTAGGTCACACGAATAGACGGCGTCGTGTGCCGCACAGTGTCCGGTAGCCGACCTCGGAACCGTCGGAAGACTAGCCTTCGCGGCCAAAACTCCTCTTTCATTAAGGTTGGCAGATGTTCAGTCGGCACCCTGACTACAAAAGACTTGAAGTCCACTCTGTGTAGCGAGTGCAGTTGCTCAACCTTCAGATGAAGCTTTGCCTTGATCTTGATGAACTCCACAATCTCCTCAACCTTTGTGGAGTCATGTAGGCGGGACACGTAGAGCAGCGTGGCTGGTACAGCAGGTCGCAGTAGATAATTGTGTCCTGTCAATGCGGTACCGCACTGATTGCGGCAAGTAGGCTTCCTCTTCTACTTTCTTTCGACTAGGGTAAAGCCTTCCTTGTCGTTCTGGTTCTTTTTAGGAACCTCCTGATGCAGGATAATAACACGGCCGTTGGTTTTAACGTGAGACGGGTATGTTAGCCCAGTATCCCCCGCCGCCCCGCCCGACCCCGACTCGATCTCAATGTCACAACAGCGAGCTGACTATATAAGTGAAATATTCACACCACATTTTTGTTTCTAAGGCTAATAGTTGGTTAATTATTAAGGTACGATGATATAGACTTTTTCGTTAGTCTACTTTTTAAACCGGGGGCTTACTCTTGAATCCAATTCCGATCGATCAACATCGGCATTGTGAAATTTCGTACTCTTGAGCCGCACACTAGCGCCCATTGCAGCCGTATTGCGCGGATATTGAATGAACTAAGTGGTATTGAGTTTGGCTTTATATTCCGTACTCTGAATGCTATTTTAACAGTTACAATTGTGGTTGTATAGTGTTGACATTGAATAATTATTGAGATTTTATTGGATTGAAATTGCATTGACATTGATATTGGTACTGTAAAACACCGCGAGGACACCGGTGACCGCAACCTATTGTTCTTTAATTGTGTCTATAATGACGGTACTCAACGAGTTAAAGCTGGTACCCGTATGTTTGACGACAAGAACAGAATTTATTTATTTATAAGCACATGTATAATTTTACAGCACAAGCCAAAACATTATACAGTTAAACAATAAAAAATGTTACTTATTTACTATTTTACACTTATGTAACAGGTATCTTATATAAAAAGTACAATAATTATAATGACTTAAAACTAATTCATCAGCCGTCCATCTTCTCAAAATCTTAAACATTCACGACATACATCCTTCCATCTCGCTGCGAACAAATCACACTCTGGTGCGGATGTCAGGAAAGCATTGACCATCGTTAATGCTCGAACAAGCGGAGAATTTTCATGCGCGACTGTTCGCGTTACTGGGACAGCCAGTAAGGGGTGCCTACGTGGCCTAAGCTGATGCTTCAGAACTGGGGGCACAAACAACCGTACCACCTGTGCCACCAGCTCCGGACAGTCAGATTGTCCTCGCAGAGTACTACAGGTAGAAATAATTAGAGAGTAATTTCGCCTCACTACCAAAGAATTAAAATTTAACATGCCTAGTAAAAACTTGGTGGGATATAAGAATGGATAGTACCCAAATAGCTTTTTGTACAGAAATCTAAGAAATGCTTTTTGCACTTTCTCCAGCAATAAAGCATAAGTACTCTCGTGAGGATTCCATACAATAGACGCTGTCTCTAGTTTGGTACGAACTAGAGCCATGTACACAAGTTTGATAGCTTTAGGATTATCAAATTCACGCATATTGCGGATAACGAAACCTAATCTGCGATAAGAGTCAATTGTAAGTAACCTCATATGTTCGTGAAAGTTTAGTCGAGGGTCGAAGACTACACCCAAGTCCTTTACAGTGTGGACTCGATTTATGAGCTCTGACCCCAAAAAGTATTTAACATGCAAAGGATTATGTGCTCGACTAAAGGACATTACATTACACTTGGCTGTATTAAAATGGAGTTTATTTTCATTGCTCCATTGGTACAAAGCATCAATATCATTCTGTAAGGTATCTGCATCTGCAAAATTTTTTACCCCATAAATAAGTTTAAGATCATCAGCATACAATAAACACCTCGCATGCTTGAGACAAGATTCTAGGTCATTCACCATCAATCCAAACAGCATTTTATGCGACTAACGACCTCGGTAAGTAACCAACGCCGCCTATGGATACCCACAACACCAAAGCCGTTATAAGTCTGTTGCTAGACTATGGCGAATGTTGGATCACACGGAGTACAAAGCAAGCACTGTTTTTGTACTATAAAATTAATTTTAATATTGTGTATAAAATACACAATAATATTTCACAATAATATTATCAAAAAAAAAAACATTTTTTTTTTTAAGTAAAAACGCGGGTTACTCACGTGAATATACTGAGAAAAGCTCTACTAGTTTCGAACCACAGAGGGGTTCTTCCTCATGAGCAGCGTGCGCGGTCGCGGCGGTGTCGCGCAGCTCACTCTTCACGTGAGTAACCGTTTAGTATGTCTCACGATAGTTATTATAAAAACATTTTTTTTTTTGTTTAAAAATTATATTCTAACATAACACAACATCGAGCCTTTTACCCCGAAGGGGTAGGCAGAGGTGCATGTTACGGCATTTAATGCACCTGTACAATGTAACACCCACTTTTCACTATTTATGGTATGAGTCCCATGTAAGTCAGCTTATTGCCATATACCGGGCATTTTCCGTGCAACTACTGAGATGTTTTTTCAATATCCAGTAATACTTTGACCTACCGACCCGGGAATCGAACCCGTGACCCCTTGTCCAGCAGTCGCACTTGTGACCACTCGGCCAACGAAGCAGGTTGTACACTAAATGAATTAGAAAAAATTCGTTTTGAAATTAAATTGCACGAGACTACAAGGTCCCAGATCTTTGGACATCCAACTCACAGAGACTCGTTGAGACACATTCACTCTACTCTGAATTAAATATGATCACAATGTCAATACCAACCACAACCAATAACATTGACGTAGGCCATTTTATTCTCCAACTTCGCTCGGTGGTCAGCTTCAATGAGTACTGTGTCAGCGATGATAGAGAGTCGCTTGTAGTACACTTCATTGTCGAAGATATGGTTCGGTCGCGACAACTTCACGTAGCGGTCTGTGTACTTCTTCTGAGCGTCCTTTGTATTGCTCACACTTATATATCCTGTTAGTTCCTCGTATGTGTAGCTGTGTACCTGTAACGGTGAAGGAAATTAGTCATTGATTTGTCGTCAGCGTTTAAAAGACGGATAGTACGATAGTCCCGGGACTTTAGTAAAGTAATTCCCGTTCCTAGGGTGTTCCTCGCATAGCTCTTGCTTCTAGTTGACCGAGTGGTCGCAAGTGCAACTGCTGGGCAAGGGGTCTTGACCGCTTGCCCATTTGTAACTGGGTTTTAAAAAATTCTCAGTAGTAGCAGCACTACTGAGAATTTACTACGGATGCTGGAATTGTGCCCGATATATAGCATTAAGCTCTATTACATGGGTCTCATAAAATAAATAGTGAAAAGTGGGTATTACATTGTACAGTGACATTTAGTGCCGTAATGTGCACCTCTGCCTACCCCTTCAGGGATAAAAGGTGCGATTTTAAGTTAGTTCATGATTCCGAGGGCTGTCCAAACTAAAAAAATGTACTACAGTTTTGGTTGAAATGTGATAATTTCACACAAATAGCCTCAGGGGTTTAGAAGCTAGAGCGCCGCGGGTGTATTTTACCGACACACAGTTGCCGTTCGAGTAAAATTCTGAGGATAGAAACTATTCTGTGTTCTTTCTCGAATTTCAAACTTTTTGTATCTAATTTCATCGAGATCCGTTCTAACTAGAATAGTAACGTAATGAGAGACTAACAAACATAAATACATAAAAACTTTCGCATTTATAACCAACTTATTAAAGTCGAAAATTCACTGAAACTAATGGATAAATTTCCCACTGTCCTATAACACCATATCGTACCTGGTAGAACTCAGCCCACATCTGTCTCCACATATGTCTGCCGGACGCGTTGTTCCTGACGTACGTATTCTTCAACACGTTGAGGCACGTCGTGGGAGTGACCTCCTCCCCGTACCCTTGCTCCGGCACGTTCTGCTCCGCCGTCACTAGGATGTCCTCGCAGTCCATTCGGAACTCGCGCTGGAAGCGAGGACCTATTGTACCTGAAACATAAACAGTCATTATGAAGTACTGATGAATCATTACAATGTAACATTCACTATTATTGAATTATGTTATGAGTACATATGAGACCTACTTCCCCGCGATTTTACCTGTTCTGCTCGCCGTTTGTTCGTACTGTGATGTTTTATAGCCTTTAGCCTTCCTCGAAAGTCGGACTATCCAACACAAAAATATATTTTTAATCAGACCTGTAGTTTCTTAGATTATTGCGTTCAAACAATCGAACAAACAAACAGGAGGTCGTGATAAAATTAGTTTGAGCTATATTTATGAGTATAACCGTTGTTATAAAAAAAGAAAGATATAACACTGTTTTGGCACCACATACAATGCATTAAGAGTAAAACATAATTACATAACTTCACGCCTTTTATCCCCGAAGGGATAGGCAGAGGTGTACATTACGGCACTTATTGCCACTGTACAATGTAACACACACTTTTCACTATTTTAAGTTTTGAGTACCATGTAATAGAGAGTGAGCCTATTGCCACATACCGGGCACATTTATAGACTCCGTGCTACTACTGAGATTTTTTTTAAATACCCATTAATACTTGCCTGACCCAGGAATCGAACCCGAGAACCCTTGTCCGGCAGTCGCACTTGCGACAACTCGGCCAATGAGGCAGTAAAAGTAAAACAATGAAAAATAAAATAAAAACTGCGTTTAAAAACCGGCCAAGTGCGAGTCGGACTCGCGCACCGAGGGTTCCGTACAAACCTGCAAGGTTTACAGAGTTCGTTCATTACGACAATCGAGTCATAACTATGGTATTTTTATTGCAAAATGAAATTCAAGATTCTAGGTCGACTGGAAGTACCCTTTAGGTTTTGATTCCCTTGCGAGTACTTGCGAGTTTCAAAATATGCAGCTTAAATTGCTGTTTCTTTTGATTGCGTTGACATAGAAGTTTGATTTTGTTACAGCTTAAAGGTATTATAGACCTGAGTATTTGGTATGAATTTCAATTTAATACCTCTACGCGTTTATGAGGAAATGGGTAGTAAGTTTAAAATTATTAAAAAAAATATATTATGTGATGTAACTAAAAAATGGTTTTCGTAATTTTTCCTTTATCTATGCTATAAGACGTTGCTTCGTACCAAATTTCAAGATTCTACCTCTAAGTTCACGGGAAGCACCCTGTAGGTTTTGATTCCCGTGCAAGTGTCGAATATTTGCGGCATAAACGGCTGTATCTTTTGATTGCGTTGGCTTAGAAGTTTGATTTTTTTCACAGCTTCAAGGGACAGTAGACCTGAGTAATTGATATAAATTTCAGCTTCATACCTCCACGCGTTCCTGAGAAAAAGAGTCTTGACTGACAGACGGACGGACGGACGGACGGACAGACGGACAACAAAGTGATCCTATAAGGGTTCCGTTTTTTCCTTTTGAGGTACGGAACCCTAAAAACAGACTTCAAAAAACCAAAAACTAATAACAAACAAAAAGTCAAAACTAAAAAGCTTTTTAACTATTATTAGTATTGATAGGTTACCCACCCACTGATAGGTAAGAAGTCGGTGCCATAAGTTCCATACAAAATTATTCATTAAAACCTTAATAGGTACCTATCATTATGATACTACTCATATCATTATGATATGAGTTCCTTCGACTGTCTGTCGGCTCCATCATCAGGTCGACTCCAGACCCTTATCAAATTGTAGTGTTTAAAAATCTTAATTGAAAAACATAATAGACGCATTAATCGCCCATAGAAATTTCGAAAGTTCCCCTCGGTTTCCCTAGGATCCCATGATCAGATCCTGATTTCATGGAAATGGGACCATCTCGGGAGTATACATGTATGTAGAAGGCTCTCGAGACTTACCTATAATAACAGCCTCAGTCTCAATATTATCTTCTCTAACAACGCCGGAGTTGCGTCGCTCCCCCGCGTTGATACACTCGGTGTGTCCACTGACGTACACTAGAGCCGAAACCTTCATCTCGTCGTAACTCAGACAGTTCTCCAACAGTAGCGGAGCCTTCTGGTTCACTGTGCCTACACTCTCCCAGCCGTCCGAACTGAAATAGTAGTATTGTCAAAATTAAAGAATTTAAGTGAATTAAGCCATTGTTTCTTTAGGTACCTTCATATGTCAGATGTTACATTGTTTGAGGGGTTAATCTGGAGGCGACTTAATTAACTGTCAAATACCGCGAGGACACCGGTGACTAGGGTTGCCACCTTTTTTTTGGTATATAAAGTACATTGACGATTATTTATAGGTAAGAAAATTTGTTTGGCGTGAACGAACAATCGACAAACATGTATAATCGTAGATAAAAACTGTCAAAACAAAGATTTCTCTTCTTTACATAATGCATGCAGTTGTATAATGCGTTGTATAATTAATTTTATTGATTACATGCAATGTATATAAAAAGCATGTTGAAGAATTTTACTAATCGTGCAACAATCTTTCTGCAATATATTTTCAACTGTATACTTTTGTTACAAAGTTGAAAATTGCTCGATGTGCTCCTCAATCAGTTTACAAATATACTTCACAATTAAAAGAAATCTCGCGTGCCTCTCTTTCTAATGTTAGTATTTAGTAAAGGATAGAGATATATTCCTCACCTACGCAATAGACTGGAGCGTATATTTTTAAGTTCTTTCGGCGACAACCCGTCCAATAACGATCTGCACACAAGTACACACACATAGCTACACCAACACAACTCACGCACACCACCACATTATACACAAAACACTCACACAATCAAAATAATCATGCATGTTATACAAATATTAACTTTATACATGAAGTGAGAGGTTGAAATTTGGACGAAACCATGCATCTTTGTTAAATTATTATATTAAGAATTTATATTTTAAACGAAACTGAGAGCTAAAGCATTGAACACAGAGATAATTTTTGATAACTATCTCGTTTGAATGTTGTTAAAATAGGATAAAAAGCTAAAACGAACCATACTGCTTTTCTTTTAAGGTGGTATGTCGTGTGTTGTCGTTTTATTTACCCTTTCTCTCCGGACAGTAGCAGGTAAGAGTCGGCGGCTCCCATAAAGTTGACGGCTCTCTTCTTGAGCAGTCTGTCTATAAACTGTACCACGCTCATATCCTTGTACAACTCCTTCTCTATACTACTGCCGTACTCTCTGGAACATTTATACCTTGGTTAAAGAATAGGAAATTGGTAGGAACTTTGTTGCTATATGGAAATTGATTTCTAAGTTTATTGTGTCTAAAATGCTAACTGTACCAAGTTTAGTACACCATACTGTAATCAATTAATTTAGAAAATATAGCAAACAGTTTAAATATACAGCATTCCTGATGGCTGATGGCCTGAAACACAAGTTCACATTAACCTAGATCGGGCGGTCCACTGTCAAATGATGAAATTTTCCGAATCACTGTCAATATACCTTTATTGATATTTTAATTTTAGTAACTATATTCTTAAGCACTGTATTGGATCTTTATTGTAATAGGACAATATTCTGCTTCTGTTGGTTAATATTCATTTTTGTAAATGTTTATTTCAATAAATTATTCTAAATTCCATAATATGACTTCGCTGGCTAGTGTAGACACACTATCCAACTTCTAAAAAGAGCCTCCAAGAAAAGAGCGTCCATTTTATCAAAGGCCGCACTTCTGTTTTAAGTCTGACAAGAAACGCACTTGTCAGTCTTGTGGTGTTCTGAGAGTCCACGAGCGGCGCTGATCGCTTACCATCAGGTGATCCATCTGCTCGTTTGTACCGATAAAAATAGATACGTGACTTATCTCACCTTTTGTATATGAGGAAGTGTGTAATGAGAAGTAGTACTCGTTCATGTAGGAGTGGGTACGTGGAGACAATATTCTTCTTCAGTTTGTCTATAGATCGTCGCGCTTTGAGCTTTTCTAATCTGCAAGTGACGTCCAAATTATCATACGTATACACAATAATACACAACTACTGATCATTCTCATGTGTGGAAGGAAAGACAGTACCCCTTTTTTGAGGCGGAAAACACACCCAATGACTTCGCCCACCCGGGTGAGGCGAGAGGGAGTGTCAGACTCCTCCTGACTAAAAATCACACCGTTCCTACGTTACGTTAAGTCCTCCGCGGCTCCGTATAAAATTAGTCCCCCTACATTCCGATCTTACTTTGGTTACAATGGTAATAGTTATTTAAAAAAATAACGTAAATATGTAGGTACTAGGTATTTCCACGATACATCAAACTTTGTTATGTAATCTGTCGAATCCATCCACAAAATTATAAAATCTTAAACCGGGGTTACGTTTACAAAATATAGTACGCTAGCACTTACCTGACGGTCTGAATGGGGAACGGTATGGGGAAGGCTTTGCTCTTGTTGATGAGTTCCTCAATATCATCGGACAGCTGCACAGGAGGCAGGTCCGCGCACTGTCGCAGCAACTCGTTGGTCTCCTTGCTCATACTAGGGTAGCACCAGTCTGCCTTGCACCTGAATAGTTCACCAGATTATATTTAAACTTTGTTGTTAACTAAACTGCTGGACAGATTTCGATGTAAACAATAGTTGATGTTTTATCATATCTTTATGCTACATTACAATTCTCCGATAGAAGTAAATATTTTGAAGTTTAAAGAATTTTATTGCTCGGAATCCGTATTAAAGTTAAAAATCTGTGCTAAAGTTGTTCATTTTAGCTTACAGTTCAAATAGTTGAATTAATTTGGATTATATGGTAGTCAATGGAAATAATTAGATATTCTCTAGTCATACATTATACTGCCCAGTCCTCATGCAGTCACCGGTGACTGCTCCATTTACACCATTATAGATCTTATTTCCGATATTTAGAGACTACGTTGTATGAACAAATGTGAATTTACCATAATCGAGGATTAAGAAAAACAGAGTAAACTTGTTGTTAGTTGTCATTACATTGTTTCACTATATTCATACAACGATAGTGTGTATCTGAATGTTACAATGATGTTACACCATAGTGAACTAAGTGGCATCAAGGTAGATATAGTAGTGACTCACACTGATTGACTAACTGCTTGCAACGGTCTATCGATAAATCAAATATAACCGATAGTAATCTCACTAAGGAGAACCGTACGTGATATTCAAAACGATGAAATATGCCGATATTTCACCGCGTACATCAATAATTTATCCTATAGGAACACTACTTTTTCATTTAATTGGGCTTCCGGTTACCTCCCTTGCACAACAAAACCAAACGATTTTCACATAAAGCTTTGTGTGACACTTTTTTTTAAGCGGGGAAAATCATTGAATGACTGCTCCCGCCTGGATGAGGCGGGAGGGAGTGTCAGACTCTTACTGACTAAAAACCACCCCGTTCCTTCTCCTGCACGTCGAGCCGGAGCCCCGGTTACTCGTTAGGTTCTCCGCGACGTTTGTGTGACACTAGGGATGTTCAGTTAAGAAGATTTTCACATCTTTTACATTACTAGTAGTACTACTAAATAACGAAGTGAAGGTTAGCCATACTAGTCTTATGCATTTGTTAAAATTTGCAGGGTAAAGGTACAAATTTTAATATAATTGTGCTTACCACCTTATGGAGTACAAGGGGCGCAGTAACGTTACACTAAAACATTACGATATGATCTCCCTTTCTCTCGGTCACATACACACACACACGCACAGATGTAAGAAATCATTGAAAAAACCGAAAAAAATCTTTTCCTTAAGTATTAGGAAACTATATTTTTTCGATCATACAGATTTCTTGTGTATCTATACAGATAAATTAAATTGGAGTGTATGTTTGTAATATTCAAATAAACGCTTTTTACTACATGGACATGAATAGACATTCAATACACATAACAAAAAACATATTTTAAATGTTTTTCTGACTGCCTGTTTGTACTGGCTAATCTTTGAAATGGCTGGACCGATTTTAACTGAATGTTTATGGGCAGGTAGCTGATGTACTAAGGAGTAACATAGGCTATTTCTATTTTGGAAAATTGAAACAAAAATAAAGTTATGTCCTAAAACTCATATTCTATGTGGACAAAGTCACGGGCAATAGCTAGTCTATTATAATTTCGTTCCATTGATGCTATAAGGAAAAATTGTATTATAATAAATAACTTTTGTAAACCAGTTGTTGGGGTTCATAAGTTGCAATAACTGTTCCGAGAGTAACTGTTAACACAACTATGGAACAAAAATAATGTGCTATGGTAAAATTCTTAGGCAATATGACTTTAAAGACAATAGGGGGCCTTTCTATGGGCATTCTGGGGTATAACAGTTATCTTCAATGTAAACCTACATTAAACGTATCACCTATTATTTAAGGCTCTAGACAGACGGCCGGCATTTTAACTGCAATCCAACCACAAATTGCAGTTCAGATGCAGAAAATATGGAACGATTGGTTAGCACTCTAACCTTTTAGCTTTGTCAACATTCAATCAATAACATGAAATATTTTATAGCAATCCCCACAAATGAAAATGAATTTTGTTTCAGTAACCATTTATTTGATTTGATATTAAAATAATGGTTTAAACTCTATCTATCTTTACTATCAAATATTATCATTTAATTGATATAAACTGAAAGTAAACTATAGTTATTATCAATGTTATCAATTTTATCATAACAACTTGTTCATTTAACTTGGGTTTTGTTCATGACATTATTATTTATCTTGCTTCTATATTTTATTTAACAAAACCAAAAATATAGTAGCAAAAATTAGTTTATTTATGTCACTTACCAGGCATAACTTTGGAAGCTCCTTGTAATGTCCATCTTTTGACGTTTTGCCTGAAATAATAATATACCAAAACTTTTAACTTATGGACTTGTAAGTTTCAAGTTTTTTTGGGGATTCATCATTTACCTATCATGTAAAGTTGCACAATTATGTCAATATGCACATATGAAATAAACATTTACATTATGCAATTGTTATATTCATTGACCATTGACCTCAGTACTTACCAACATTTTGTTTTATTCTTAATTTGCAATAATGTGGGTAATTGGGAAAATAAAAAGTTTATTAGTTTTCAATGTAAAAAGTGTACTTAATTATTTAATAATGAAGGTTTATAATGCTGTAAAGTATCGATAAAATTACTATTTGGACCAGAGTATTAATTTAAATAAATATAAAATTGTAAATTAGTGAAATCAGTACTATCAGCGTACACTACTACTTGGTTTCGCATGCAGTTATACGCTGATTGGAAATTGTACTCACACAGGCCTGACAGGATCGATTTATAACAACATGTACAGACAAGTTCACGCTTGCGGGGACCTTATAAACACTACTGATACGCCTCGAGCGGTTCAGTTTTGTTAAATTGCGGTGAATCACCAAAGCCGACCGACACAGACATTCCACGAACATTTGTTTTGACATTTACACACTAACATAACTGTGATACTATATATGTATGTATGTATACATAGATAAACAAACACACATATACATATGGATATGAGTTTTCGTCTATGACCTCACGTTTTGTTTTCTTTTGTGGAGAAAATGCGTAGACAAGACATTATAATAATATTGTCTCCACACATTGGGCCAACGCATAGGGCCAGCACGTAGAAGCCTCGTTAGCATAACATTGGTCGACCAACTGAATGTTGTCTGTTTTTCGTGCGCTCATCAAAGGATCTTGGCGCGTACCACAAACGGTGTTCAGACATTCAGTTTATTGTCATTCATCAGTAAAGATGTTCGGAATTACATTGCGTGGACAAACACTGATAATTTATAATATTTTATTGAAATATACAGAAAATACATTTTCAATTTACTATATAATGACCCAATACGTCATCCTAATGTGTAAACATGGATATTTACAATTCAATAAGTTGACCTAATGCGTTGGCCCATACGTTGTCCCAATGCTGTCTAATGTGTTGAGCCGCCTTTAGTGTGCAAAGATAATAACCTACACCTACTACTTTTTTAAATTTATATGTTATTTAGTAATTATAACTTAATCAATTTAAATTCTCACCCCCTGTTACATGGGACTCATAACATAAATAGTGTTAAGTGGGTCTTACTTACATTGTATACTGTCATTAAGTGCCCTAATGTGCACCTCTGCCTACCCATTCGGAGACAAAAGACGTATGTTATGTCTATTTAAATTGAGCTACGGAATGAAAACTGAAAAGTTATCGCTGTTTTACATACATTTTGTCAATCATTAGAGCAGGCCAAACGCAGTTTATTACAATAATAAAACGTGTTGTAGTTAAGCGTTTACAAAGTACGCTTAATTTCAAACATTATTCTTTTTCATCTTAAAAATTAACATATTATCATTATGTTTATCTAAATATAAGAAAACGGGAACGATAACTATTAAATATCAATAACAGAAGTGTATCAATTTGTTCTCAAAATGAAAATAAAACATAAATAGAACATACAATAAACATTCCTTGTAAATAAAACTGTGATGTCTTGCATTGCTAAAATGTCATTTTTTATTATTGTCAAATGTCAAGTCTATATAATTACATGCTCTGTGGTCAAGTCAATGTTTGTTGACATAAAATTTGGCGCGATTTACTTATTTATTTTATTGACGAAACCTTGGAAAGTTCTACTTTATTTAAATTAAAGTAGAACTTTACCTACTAGTAATGTAAAAGATGTGAAAATCTTCTTAACTGAACATCCCTAGTGTCACACAAACGTCGCGGAGAACCTAACGGGTAACCGGGGCTCCGGCTCGACGTGCAGGAGACGGAACGGGGTGGTTTTTAGTCAGTAAGAGTCTGGCACTCCCTCCCGCCTCACCCAGGCGGGAGCAGTCATTCAATGATTTTCCCCGCTTAAAAAAAAAGTGTCACACAAAGCTTTATGTGAAAATCGTTTCGTTTTGTTGTTTATGGGAGGTAACCGGAAGCCCAATTAAAATTTTGATTATAAGGGAAATTATTGATGTACGCGGTGAAATATCGGCATATTTCATCGTTTTGAATATCACGTACGGTTCTCCTTATTGAGATTACTATCGGTTATATTTGATTTATCGATAGACCGTTGCAAGCAGTTAGTCAATCAGTGTGAGTCACTGCTATATCTACCTTGATGCCACTTAGTTCACTATGGTGTAACATCATTGTAACATTCAGATACACACTATCGTTGTATGAATATAGTGAAACAATGTAATGACAAATAACAACAAGTTTACTCTGTTTTTCTTAATCCTCGATTATGGAAAATTCACATTTGTTCATACAACATAGTCTCTAAATATCGGAAATAAGATCTATAATGGTGTAAATGGAGCAGTCACCGGTGAATGCATGAGGACTGGGCAGTATAATGTATGACTAGAGAATATCTAATTATTTCCATTGACTACCATATAATCCAAAATAATTCAACTATTTGAAGTTATATACTATTTGAACTGAAAGTAAAATGAACAACTTTAGCACAGATTTTTAACTTTAATACGGATTCCGAGCAATAAAATTCTTTAAAATTCAAAATATTTACTTCTATCGTAGAATTTTAATGTCGCTTAAAGATATGACAAAACTAGGTAATAGGTATTAGGAATTATTTTTTAATTTTTAGTTTTTTTTTGTGTTCTCGCATTTGAAGTCGGTTTTATGAACACATAGATTGTACAGATATCGTCAAAACCTTCCATACCTTAAATAAGAAAAAGACTGCAGATTTGTGGGGAAATTCTGTGTACATTGCCAGCTCTGTTATAGCTATTATAGCACCTCTATTAGCTCTAATTTTTAATAATTGTATCGACCGCGGTGTGTTTCCTGATCTTATGAAAAATAGTAAAATAACTCCGTTATTTAAATCAGGTAGTACTTCTGACCCCACTAACTTTAGACCTATTTCAGTACTACCTACATTTAGTAAAATTTTTGAAAAAATTATTCTAAATCAAATGCAAAGATTTTTTAATAGAAATAAATTGTTACATAGTAACCAGTTTGGTTTTACCAGGGGTCGTTCAACAACTGATGCCGGTGTTGAACTTCTTAATCACATATATGACGCGTGGGAGGACTCAAGCGACGCTTTGGGCATTTTTTGTGACTTATCCAAGGCGTTCGATTGTGTCCTTCATGATACATTGATCAGGAAGCTATCCCATTATGGAATAAGAGGTAAATCTCTGGATCTTCTTACCTCATACTTGAGTAACAGGATTCAGAGAGTCGAAATAAACGGAAAAGTCTCCACCGGGTCTGTTGTCAGGATGGGGGTTCCGCAGGGGTCAATTCTCGGCCCATTTTTGTTTCTTATATATATAAATGACTTACCTTACCTTGTAAGGGATAACCACGGGATAGTACTGTTTGCGGATGATACTTCGTTATTATTTAAACTTAAACGTAGACAATTAGTTATTAATAATGTGAACAGTGCTCTCTCGGAGATAGTACGCTGGTTCAATGCCAATAATCAAATATATAAAATATTAAAGTCTACCTCTAATGTGCCTGAACGAACATGCTAAATATACCAAATGTGGATCATTTTGTACTTATGTAAATGTGACCAATAAAAATGAATGAAAGAGATAACAGCAACGTTTTATTTTAAATTCTATTATCTATTCATCTGCACAATTTTTTTTCTTACGTATAATTTGAAATTTTTTCAGATAATTGAAAAATAAAAATTAAACGCTTTACATTATATCAATTATTTAATCAGTTTTATCTTTTACATATTATTATATTTATATATAAGTACAATAGGGTAACTTAATTTTAAATTAAATGATAAAACACTACGATCAACAACACCCTAATTACGTAACACAACTAATCAGTCAGAGTGCCAAGTACGAATAACTATCGCATTCGTATCGTAACCGTATCGAGCGAGTTAGCGTTCTGATTGGTTGGTTCACTTGAGCCGGCCAATCAGAGCGCCAATCAGAGCGCCGCACCCTGTTCACAACTAATAATTTCGGCAGCAAGACAACGTTCACTGCGTTACGTTGTTGAGCAAACAAATTTTTTAACATAATAATTAAGCAATGGATTTGGATACTGCGTGCTGACTGCGAATTGCTTTTACGTCAACGTGATCGAGACGTTAAGCGAGTTCGGCTCTCTGATTGGATAAAGCTTGGAGCGGGCCAATCGGAGCGCGTAACGTCATAAACGCTTCAATCGCGTTAGCGTAAAACAACTCACACTCAGCATACTGGTTATTTAAATAGGTATTTAACTATATCAGTCTTAAACGTCTTTTTGAATATTTCACAAAATGAGATCATATTTATAGGTAATTTTTATTAATTATTCCTATTTTATTATATAAAAAAATACAACATGTTAAATAAATCACATCCTGAAAATAGTTTGTTCAGAATCGTTAACTGAATCGATTTATATAATTTTTTGTATAGGTAATTCTTTATCCCAAAAATGATTAAAACTACGGAAATTATTGTCGTATTAACCCTGTATTGTTAAAACAAATCGAAATGGACCGTAAGTCAAAGCAATAAGACTTCTAAAATTGCAGTTTGTATTCATACAAATTCTATCATTCAATACAAAATAAAGAAAAATAAACCTTATGACAAGAACGGTAAGGATGCATATACATGTTAAATTAAAAATGTAGTGTATGTATTATGATTATAACATAATATTCTAATTGGGGTGTTTGAGGGTGTGCGTTAATTACGTTACATGTTGTATACATATATATGAGATCACATGCCTACATAAACATACTGAGCTGCGTCGAAACACTTAAACACAAACCTTTAAATAACGATTTAACAATCTTACAACATCCTCAATCACACTTTGTTTATAGACATACTAAATTAATTATTTTATTATGGCAATAGGCTCACCCCCTATTACATGGGACTCATAACATAAATAGTGAAAAGTGGGTGTTACATTGTACAGTGGTATAATGTGCACCTCTGCCTACCCCTTCGAGGATAAAAGGCGTGATGTTATGTATGTATGTATGTAAATTAATTATTATATTTTCCGCTTATACAGGTTACTGTTTGACGAGGAACTCGACTAGTTTCAAGCCATGCTAGAGACTCTATTCACGGGCTGATTAGGTGGCGAGTGTCGCGGAATGCTGCTCATAATATAGGCTCTAGCATGACGAAACTAGTCGAGCTTCTCATCAAACGATTGCGTGATTAAGCCGTAAAACATAATAATTAATCACACTTTCATTTGTTTTGT